AAAACAATTTTTTTAGGAAAAGTTGATACATGGGAATATAGCGGAGACCTCTACGATCACGTCCTGCTCTCCGAGAGCTTGCGCTCTCCGTCGAAGCTTCCTGATCTTCGCAAAGTCACGATTGCTAAGCTTGATATATTGATTGTCAGCAACTGGTAAATTCTGGACTTCGGAAGGCTTGAAACTGAACAGGAATACTGTCAGTATTACTAACTATCAATTACAGACTCACCCTAACCACTGGATTTGTCTCACATAGCAATCCTGCCCTTCGATATTTTCCAGGATTGAGCCGTACTTATAAGTCAACATTATCTCAATGCCCAAAAAACCATCCTTAACAATTCTTTGAAAGTTGCTCAATTCAAGCTTACCATGCGGATCGCTATCGAATAGTCCATACAAAGGAACTGACAATTGTTCCACTAGCCATCGCAATATTTTCCGTGTGCAAAGATCTGGATAGCCTCTGCCCTGAACAATCTGTGCTTAGATTTAGAAGTTTATAGGAAAGAGCGTAAGTACCGTTACTAATATACTGGCGGGAAAACATTCAAAGAAACCATCATCAATCAATTTCTGGAAGGCAGCATCTTTCTCCACAACCACGATAAATTCGGCCCCGCTGAGGATGCGGCACTTCAAGAGTGTCTCTCCAATTGCATTTGGACAGTAAGAAGCTAATCTAATATTTTGAGTGTCTTCAAGTGCCCCCAAGGGCGTTCGTCCGACACCACCCTTTCAAGTCACGCGACTACAACCCAAAGGTTTGAAGATTTCATTGAAACGGCATACCGGATATCAACACTTGCTGATGTGTGCAGTCAATGAGCCTTTGTTCATTTGTGAGGAAAGCAATCGCCCCAGAAAGAAGTCCTTTGCTGCTGGATATCTAGAAAATACAGATTCTGAAGGATCACCCATAAGTTGCCGACAACTGTTGCCGAGGTTGCCGCTGCTACCAGCGATACCAGGGTGGATGAGTGCCAGGGTTAACGAGGTTGTCAATAGCACAATATGGCAAAGAACAAGAATAATGGCATGCCGATACAATCGCACAAAATTTAACTAGTGCAAAGGGTCAGCAAATGCGAGCGACACTGGTAAGACTGGCAACACCGGTAACCCCAGTAACCCTGTCCAACCGACAATCTCGGTAACCTCGGCATAAACTGTCGGCAATCTACGCCCGATTCCTTACGAAGACAGACGGACAAACATCTATATGACATTCACATGTAAAACCTACGATACCCCTCTCGAAAAGGTAACCAATAGTTGCTGATTCGGAAGCTAATTAAACAAGAATGTACAGGACATGTGTCCAGAAGCAATCGTACCAGATGTTGCCAGAGGCAGTGCACGCAGAATGAATACAACGAATACCGGTCTTCCTACTGCATACTGATCACAAGGCCCTTACCTAAGTCATTATCCATTACTGCAGCCCATCTGTTCACGGCCGAGCCTCTCGACTGCGAACCCACGCATAGAACCGTTTCCTAATAGACGCAATGCTTGATTCACTCCAACTTCGCCATTAGTCAAATCAGTGACCGGCTAGTAGCGAAGCGGATGCCCACTTGATCCACTTGATTCACTTCGTTATTGGTCAGGTCACTGATCTGACCAAGAGCGTGGATCAAGCGGATCAAGATGGCATTGCTTAAAGGCAGTGGCTCGGGAAAATTGCGACTGCGGGC